GACCAGACCATACTAAACTTAGACAGTTATAAAATACATAGAGACTAGACATTTAATAGACTAGACTAGTTCAGATCAAATTAAACCAAATCAGACCAGATCAGGTCAAACCGTATCAGATTAGACAATTTCAGTTCTATTAAAAACATTCTCAATTTACACTATAACTTTTTAACACACTCCACAATAAATCATTTATACCACTAGGTACAACATTTGAGGCATTTTCATGTGGAAAGATTATTATTTTTCTAATTAATTAGAGCATTGACAAATGGTAAAAACTATTTATTCGCTTGCTTGTTTGGTAACATACTAACATTCATATGTTTTTTCTTTCAAAGAATAATATTTATATGTTTTTGAGTTGATCTTTTCTTAAAAGCGGTGTAACGTAACTTGTACGATCGAGTACAATAATACATGTAAGTTTTAAGGGGTTTTGACTCATGTCTAACAACATTATAATTGTGAATGTGGGTTGGTAACCTTGATTTGTATCAACATTGTGCATTAGGAATTGTAAATTATTCTTAAAAAATGAAACTCTACTTTATCATGTAACTTTTTCCACCCTTAATATACTAACTGTGAAATCTATCTTCCGTCAAGTTAATATGGATTCTTTTAAAATAATTATTATAGCCAGCCTCCAATGGCTTTGCTAACTTGCTAGGGTCACATATTAAATGAAAAAATTGAACCCATCCTCTTTAGGTGACGCTTGTCTTATGACATAGCCAGTCTATTATTATAACTAATTTTGCACTTGTCTTGCTCTTTTCTAATTTACTCTTTTTCCGTTGTAATAAATGAAATTATGTTCTAGATTGATTTTCTTTTTTATTTCACTTTAAAGTTAGATATCAAGTTTTGTATAAAATTCAAAACAACCATGCAACTATGTGGTATTCTAGGTGTCATTGATATTACTCGTGTTTTTTTGTATAAAACGGAAAACATATGCAATTCATAAAATTGCAAAGTTTTTATGAAGTATGGGCGCATATCCAAATAATATTTGATGGGATGAAAATACATTTGATCCGACAATTTTAAGAAAAATATTACAAAATTTTACATATTATTAAAAAAATATGATAACAATGTTATACAGAGTATATAATAAATATTTACAAAAAAAATATTGGGCAAATACTATCGCGCCTAGCTTGCGCGACTAAACGCTAGTATTACTAATAAATGGACAATGGACAAAAAGTGACATTCTCTTTTAATTTCCAAAAAGTGTGACTAATAAGCAATGATATACAATAACACGCTACACTGACCGGCCCCAGTGACAAGTGACACGCTACAGTGACATGAGCACAGTGACATCCACCACTACCTCCTGATTGATGACCGCCGCCTGCCTGAGACTACCGCCAGTTATGCCTCCCATGGTTATTTGACCACAGTGATGTCGTCACACCCCACGACGTCAAATTTTTCAGTGACATCGTCCATCGCAAATTACTCTGGCCACCGCCGCCTCGACAATATCCCTCCCCGCCCCCAGCCTCACATCTCCCCTCCCAAGCTCAGTCACAGCCACAACCACTACACTGTTTCGACCTTATAGCCCGCCTGTACACCCTAGCCACCAGATCCAACCACCACACCTTGCCCCTCAGCCACCAAACACCATTTCTCACCATGGCAGAGGCGAGACAGAATGAGAGCAAAAAGAATGTGGCCAACGACGGACTTCCAATGGCATCGAGCAACAAATAATGTGCGAACTAAGGTGAGGGATGAAGGTGTGGCGATGGGCTTCAGTGGCAATGATGCGCTTTAGCAGTGCAACCTCGCGTCACGGCGGCGATGGCAAAGCGACATGACCTCGAGGAGGAGCCGGCCGCGACCTCACAGAGACGATGTTGGTGAAATTGAGTGGAGCTTGAAGACGATAGACAGTACTGGAAGATGGAGGAGGCTTGGCCAGAGAGAAGATGACAGTGCGCTAAGAAGGCACAAAGAGGAAGGGCGACGTGGGGCAGGTGAGTGACCTTTCTTTTTAAATTCTATGGCCACTTTTGTCTTTTTATAAAATGATCATATTTTTGTCTAATGAAAGTTGAGGAGTAAAATTTGTGTCATTCTTTTGAGTTTTAATTTTATAAATATAGGACCTGACTTGAGATAAAATAAAAAGTGATCAATTAACAATCAATGGTCTGAAATATACCTGATTATAACTCTACCATCTCTAACGATCTCCTTAATTGGCTCCGCATTTCAGTTGTCTCTTCAGGCTTCACCTACTATACTATCGATCTTCTTGGCTTCACATCACGTCGCCTCCGCTGTGCGCCTGTGCACAAGTTGCCGTCGCTGTCGTGCACCCGTCACCGCCATCACTATGGAGAGAGTGTTGGTATCGTGCACTAGTCGTTGTCGCCACAGCCTTTTACCTGCTCTAATATGATCTCCATCGTCGTCTCTTTGCATTGTTGTCATTGCCTCACTGTGTTAGCGTTTGTAAGCCAAGGGATCTTCCTATGAAATTCCCTTTGAATACAACTGAATTTTGGATTCAGATGCATAATGTGCCGAATGCAGTGGCGGAGACACATACAAGGGTGTGGTGTCAATTGACACCACTCAAATAATTTTTGTAAGTATATATAGAGGTATTTTTTTGTAAATTAATTTGACACCACCTATATACATACAATGATGATCAATTGACACTACTCAAATATTTTTTGTAGTTATATATGAAGGTATATTTTCTAAAAATCAATTTAATATGACACCACCTATATTAACGAACTGAGGGTCAAAGTATATATATATATATATATATATATATATATATATATATATATATATATATATATATATATATATATATATATATGAAAAAATTGCATATTTAAAAATAAAATAAAGTTATTTACAAAAAGTAATGTCTCAAGTGTTGTGACTACATTAGAAACTTTAGTAAATTTAAGTGTCCATAACACTATATTATACGCAGTAGTAAATTTTAGTGGTATTTATGTAAATAATTAAGCTTATTTCAGAAATATTTTTGAAAGACTCAAAATATATTTATTAAACTAAAACAAATTTACATGTAATAAAATCTATCCATGAATAATATCTATTACTCATTTCAATAAATGATGCACTAGAATACTTATACAAGACAAATATAAGGATTCTTAAATTTAAAGTTGACAAAAAAACACCATGATTAAGGTGACAAAAGGAAGAATTGACGGATTATTACGTTGACTCTAAATTTTGATAAGATAATGTGTATCAGAAAAAACTAGATAGTCATTCTTTAATATGAGAAGATTACATAGTACTATCTCCATCCTACTAACATTGGTACATGAGGAGGTGACACATTTAATAAGAAAAATGAATTTAATTATGTGATTGATATTGAATAAAGTTGGAATAAATTAGGAATGATTTAGAACCACAAAAATTTTATCAAATTTGGTATATGACAATCTAAGTGGAACGGACCAGAAAGGAAAGATGAGTCAATTTTAGCGGGACGGGGGGAGTATGATAGTATCTACACATGTAATATTTGAAGAATTTATTATCGTACCCTTACTTTATTATTTAGTTATATTAAAGATTTGTATCAATAAAGTTTTTGAAATTAAAGTATCAATACAACAAAAACATTCGAGCCTTAGTCCCAAAAGATATTGGGGTCGGCCAAATTAAAGTATCAATGATGAGAAAAATATACAATATTTTTAAGGGAAAAATAATTAAAATACCCCAAACTTTCATGGGGTGTGAAGTAAGCACCCCAAACTTGCATATGTAATTTAAATACCTCGAACTTTACATAAAAAGTTATTTTAGCATCATGGTCATGTATTATTTCTTTCAAAAATGTTAATTTTTTGTGTTAATTCTATCATTTAAAATATTTTAGCATTCATGGAGATACAATTAACATTCTAAATTTTAATTGTAAAATAAATAGTTACCCCCACTTTATATAATTGCAACGTTTTCAATTTGCCATTTTAAATTATGCAATTAACACAACAAATTTACAATTTTGAAATAAATAATACATGATCATGGTGTTAAAATAATTTTTTATATAAAATTTGGGATATTTAAATTACATATGAAAGTTTGGAGTGTTTATGTCACACCCCTTCAAAGTTTGGGGTATTTTTATTATTTTTTCCTATTTTTAAAGAAGCATAATATTAGATAATACCGAACTTATCATCGATTATCACTAGTAAAACAGACTATATAAATAATTAATTCATACTCAAGTATTCAAAAATATATACAAAGTCAAATATATAAGGGATATTTCATAATTCACAAACTACAAGCTACAGACTCATAATTTACAAACTACAAACTCAATGTTGTTATCCGGTGAGCTGATCTAAAGGTTGTACATACATAGTTGTATTTTGGTATTAAAATCAAAATGTTGAATTGAATAATTGTAGAAAACGTATAATTATCAACATATTTTTTTAATATTGTACGTGTCATATAAGTAGAATTTAGTTCAAAAAGTTGACACCACTCTAATGAATTGCTGGCTCCGCCACTGGCCGAATGACTATATGACTTTAGAGGTAGCAAAAATGCTTGATAACATTGTGGGTAGTTTTATCAAACTGGAAGAGAGTCAACTCGATGAAAAGTGAGAAGTTTAGATGCACATTAAAACCTCTTTGGATGTAGGAAAACTTGTAAAGAGTCACTAAAGACTTGAACTATAGTAAGGAAATGGGAATGATTTTAATTTCACGGCTCAAGACCGGAACGTACTAGAATGCGAACCAAGAGTGGTCCTAAATTCCTAATTGATTGAAATTTCAAAATTTGCCTCCAAGACAATGCTATTAATTTTCTACCTTTTCGCAAGAGGGAAAATTTTGAGGCGCGTCAGTATTCCAGGACCTACTGCCACGCTGGCGATCCGCGCTCCATTATATCCACCAATCACAGTACACCATCATGACCTACATATACCATTCTCTCCTTTGAGTTTTTCGTAGTCTCGAAAATACAGAACAACCGCACTCGCAGTTCAGCTTTCACAACTCGGCTTTAGGGTTTCTTCTGGGAAAATTATGAGTTCAAGCGGAGCAGGCAAGGGTGCCGCCGTCGCCGGCAGAGGAAAGCCTAAGGCGGCGAAATCAGTCTCCCGATCATCGAAGGCCGGGCTCCAGTTCCCCGTCGGTAGGGTTGCCCGATTCCTCAAATCCGGAAAGTATGCCGAGCGTGTCGGCGCCGGTGCTCCGGTTTATCTCTGTGCCGTTCTCGAGTATCTCGCCGCTGAGGTATTGGTTCACGATCTTTCAATAATTCAATATCCCGATTTGCAGATAATTGAATTCATTTTATATTTGTTATTTCTCAAGATTCCTGTTTCGAATTTGAAAGCAATCAATTGATCTATTTGTTATTTTAATTTGACGAATCCTTATAAATTGAATTAGGTTTTGGAATTGGCCGGTAATGCTGCTAGGGACAACAAGAAGACCCGAATTGTGCCCAGACACATTCAATTGGCAGTGAGGAATGATGAAGAACTAAGCAAACTTTTGGGGAATGTGACAATTGCCAATGGAGGAGTGTTGCCAAACATTCACCAGAATCTGCTACCCAAAAAGGCAGGCGGTGGAAAGGGCGATATAGGCTCTGCATCTCAGGAGTTTTAGGGTTTTCTCCCATTTGAGCCATGTACAATAGCCATATGTTCTCCGTACAAGTTTTTGAAGCTACTTATATCCCATACAAGCAAATGGAATAGCTGTTTTGGGTTTATATTCATGCTTCCATTGTTGCTTGGTAGTTCCATGTACTTGAAAGATTATATTCTAATGGAATTACTTTTTTTCGTTTCTGTTGGTTATCTTTGTTGAGGTCTGATTGAATGTTTACATTAGTTTCAAATGAGTTTGATGTCTATTCTCATGATATACACTGCGACTTAAGTTTGTATTTTCTTGATGCCTCTTGGTATTGGTGTTTAAATATTGATGCCAAGAACTGTAAAAGTCTTTGGGCTGATGTTTAGTAGTGTCATGTGCAGAAAGGTGACTTCTTTGTTTAATTTCATGATGACTCTTGATCTTTTGGGATTGGTGTTTAAATGTTGATGCTATATAGTTCTCAAGAACTGGAGGAGCCGTTGAGAAGCTTTTTAGTATTGTTAAGAGCAGAAATGTGGCTTCTTTGTTGAGGATATTGGGGGAACATCTTTGGAATGTGATTTTTGTTTGAAGATGAAACTCTGAGCGAGAACTGAATTTGACATCAAGCAGAAACAGAGTCAGCCATCATTTTCGATCCCAAAATCTCACGAAAAACGAAGCTTTGCCAATTGCTCTATCATCCTGGTGCAGAAGTGCTGCTGCTGAGTATGGTCACTATATGAGAATCAAGAGATTGTTTTGAGAGTCTGGATTTCGTTTTTTTAGGGAAGAGGCTGGATTTCGTTGTCCACTCTTGGTTTGTATATATTCCGACTAACTTTTAACGAGCTAGGAATTTTACCAGTAACATACCATTGCGCACCAACACCAGAGCTAGGAATTTTACCAGTAACATACCATTGTGCACCAACACCACTGTTTGGAATTCGTCTACTATAGTGCAATTACATGGCCTCAAGTAGGGATGGATTAGGCCCGGGCGGCCTGACCGGATATTGTTCAGGCCCGGCCCGACTCAATACTTTTCAGGCCTGGGTCTCGGACCTATGATTATAAGGGTGGGATTCGGGCTCGATTGTTTTGGCCCGGTCCGGGCCTAACTGCAACCAATTGTTAATTAATAGTATTATTTTTAATTAAATGTGTGGTACCGCCGTACCAGCTTGAACGCGGTCGTAGGCCGGTACTGATTGGACCTGGGCTGGTCTTGGTCCTGGAGCGTACCCGGACCGATAGTAGGCCAAAGTGTTACAGAAAAAAGCCCACTGGGATCGGGCCCGAGTCCACCCCTAGCTACCTAGCTTCAAGTAGGGGAGCAATGGATAGGTTTTAGACTTTTCGCCTTTTCGGTTAATTTGGGTGCTTGTATCCTCAGTTGTCCACTCTATGCATTCAAAAACAAAAATATTATGCTTGTTGTAAAATCCTGGGAATAACATGTGTGTGAATTATTCATCCTTGTAAGCAGCATACTCATTAGGACACCAAGCTTTTCCTGATCCTTGTAATGATCCTTGTAACCTAGTTAGAACAGGTGGTTTAATATGCTATTGCCACCAAATCTGTAGACTCATCAAATAAGTGACTCATCATCAAGCTCAACCAGTATAAATAGTGGCTTGATGAGGTCTTGTAAATTAATTCAAGCAACTCAGAAATTTCAGAGATTAAGAAGAAGTTATTCAAAGCTTATTTATAATATATATCTCTTAAAGTTGTTCTTCATCTTCTCCATTTCACAACACGTTATCAGCACGAATCTGCTCAAACTCTCCAAGAAATTCTTCCTGCTGATATGGATCACTCAAATGATAAAGAGCTATGTCTGATAGACAGCGCCACAACGCACACCATTTTGGGGAATAAAATCTATTTTTCTCAAATGACTTTAGTTGAAGCTAAAGTCAATACAATATCAGGTGTTGCGAAGCTCATTGAAGGCTCTGGGAAAGCATATGTGATGCTCCCTAACGGGACAAAAATAATTATAAATGACGCTCTATACTCCACCAAATCGCGGAGAAATCTATTGAGTTTTAAAGATATGCGTCAAAATGGTTATCACATTGAAACCATGAATGAAAACCAAAAGGAATATCTTTGTCTTACGACAACTAAATCTGGCACTAAAAATATTTGTGAAAAAATGCCAGCTTATTCCTCAGGACTATATTTCACTTATATCAGTCCATTCGAAATAAATTTGGTTACTAACGCAAAGTTAGATGATCAGAAAACATTCATGTTGTGGCATGACCGTTTAGGTCACCCAGGCCAAGTAATGATGCATAAAATCATTAAGACTTCACTTGGACACCCATTAAAGAATATAAGGGTTCCAATATCAAGGGATTTTCCTTGTAAGGCCTGTTCTCTTGGCAAAATGATCATCAGGCCTTCTATGAACAAAATTGCAACTGAATCACCTGCATTTTTAGAAAGGATTCAAGGAGATATTTGTGGGCCGATAGCCCCACCATGTGGACCATTTCGATATTTTATGGTGTTGATTGATGCTTCAACACGTTGGTCACATGTTAGTCTTTTATCGACTAGAAATTTAGCATTTGCTAAACTCCTCGCTCAAATTATACGATTAAGAGCTCATTTTCCGGATCATTCTATAAAGAGAATCCGACTTGATAATGCAGGAGAATTTACTTCCCAATCATTTAACGACTATTGTATGTCGATTGGGATTGATGTGGAGCACCCTGTTGCTCATGTCCATACACAAAATGGTCTTGCTGAATCTTTGATTAAACGATTACAATTAATCGCTAGACCATTATTAATGAAGTGTAATTTACCTTCATCAGCTTGGGGACATGCTATTTTGCATGCAGCAAATTTAATTCGGCTTAGACCGACTGCATATCATGAATATTCCCCTATGCAATTAGTTACTGGACAAGAGCCAAACTTAGCACACATAAAAATATTTGGTTGTGCTGTTTATGTTCCGATTGCTCCACCTCATCGTACAAAAATGGGTCCTCAAAGAAGGTTGGGAATTTATGTTGGATTTGAATCTCCCTCAATAATCAAATATCTTGAACCAATGACTGGTGACCTATTCACCGCACGGTTCGCTGACTGTCATTTCAATGAGACAGTATTCCCAACCTTAGGGGGAGAAACTAATAAATCGGACCCAAGTACGAAAGAAATAACATGGAATGCAACAAGATTATCACACCTTGATTCTAGATCAAATATATGTGAGCAAGAGGTGCAAAAGATAATCCATTTACAAAATGTTGCAAATCAGTTGCCTGATGCATTCACAGATACAAAGAAAGTGACAAAGTCACATATTCCTGCTATGAATGCCCCTGCCAGAATCGAAATTCCTGCAGAGAATTCTGAAAAATCTCTTGCAAATGATTCTTCTATACGCAAAAAGCGTGGCAGGCCACTTGGATCAAAAGACATAAAACCAAGAAAATCTAAAAGGCAGGAATTGATCTGTGATGCCAAAGATGTTCATCCTTCTGAACAAGAAAATGAACAATTTGAAAATACTGGCATAGAAAATGATATTGACAGAACAAACATCTCATATAATGATCCAACTTCCTTAAATGAGGAAGATATTCCAGATAATGATAGAAACGTTGATAATTATGAAATTTCAATAAACTACGTTTCTACTGGAATGCAATGGAATCGAAAAGATATTGATATTAATGAGATATTTGTCTATGCCGTTGCCACAAATGTTATGAATGAAAACAATGACAATGAGCCAACATCAATTGAAGAATGTCGGAAACGACAAGATTGACCAAAATGGAATGAAGCTATTCAGGCTGAATTAAAATCACTTGAAAAACGTGATGTTTTTGGACCGATAGTCCCTACGCCAAAAGGCGTAAAACCTGTGGGTTTTAAATGGGTATTTGTGCGTAAACGCAATGAGAAAAATGAAATTGTTAGATATAAAGCCCGACTTGTTGCCCAAGGTTTTTCTCAAATGCCGGGAATCGATTATGAAGAAACCTATTCTCCAGTAGTTGATGCAACTACATTAAGGTTTCTCATTGGCATGTCTGTTTTTGAAAGGCTGCAAATGCGCCTAATGGATGTAGTGACCGCCTATCTATATGGTTCACTTGATACAGACATTTACATGAAAGTTCCCGGTGGATTTAAAATGCCTGAAGCTTATAGCTCGAAACCTCGAGACATGTTTTCCATTAAATTACAAAAGTCATTGTATGGACTAAAACAATCTGGACGAATGTGGTATAATCGTCTCAGTGAATACCTTCTCAAAGAAGGATATAAGAATGATCCAATTAGTCCATGTGTTTTCATTCGGCGATCAAATTCGGGATTCGCCATAATTGCAGTATATGTTGATGACTTAAAAATTATTGGAACTCCCGATGAAATTGAAAATACTGCAAAATATCTTATGAAAGAATTTGAAATGAAAGATCTCGGGAGAACCAAATTTTGTCTCGGACTTCAAATTGAGCATTTGAAGAATGGAATTTTCATCCACCAATCCAATTACACCGAGAAAGTGTTGAAGAGATTCTATATGGACAAAGCTCATCCTTTGACTTCACCAATGGTCATTCGATCTCTCAACATACACGATGATCCATTCCGTCCACGTGAAGACGACGAAGATATACTCGGTCCCGAAGTACCATATCTGAGTGCTATCAGAGCTTTAATGTATTTAGCTAATAATACTAGACCAGATATTGCATTTTCTGTAAATTTATTAGCTAGGTACAGCTCATGTCCAACAAGACGTCATTGGAACGGGATCAAGCACATATTTCGTTATCTCCGTGGTACAATTGATCTCGGTCTATTCTACCACAAAGATGCAAAAGCTTCTTTAATAGGATATGCAGACGCTGGATACCTATCAGATCCTCAAAAGGCAAAATCACAAACCGGGTACGTATTTACTTATGGTAATACCGCAATCTCGTGGAGATCTATGAAACAGACGTTGACAGCTACATCATCAAATCATTCGGAGTTAATCGCACTTTATGAAACCGGGAGGGAATGCGTGTGGCTGCGATCTATGATTCAACACATCCAAAATGAATGCGGTATAAAGCCTATTACTTGTCACCCGACTGTGATCTATGAAGACAACATCGCATGCATAGCTCAAATTAAAGAGGGTTATATCAAAGGAGACAGAACAAAACACATATCACCAAAATTCTTCTCTACTCATGATCTGGAGAAAGATGGGACGATCAACATTCAACAAATCAGATCAAGTGAAAATCCAGTCGATCTCTTCACCAAATCTTTACCCCCGAAGAAGTTCACAGAACTCGTACAGAAAATCGGCATGCACCGCCTTCAAAATTTATGTTAATTTTAGGGGGAGTATTTGAATGCAGTGCACTCTTTTTCCCTTCATCAGGTTTTTATCCCACTGGGTTTTTCCTGATAAGGTTTTTAACGAGACAGTACATCCAAATACAACGACATTATATGTCGTAATCTTTACCCCTTAACTTTGACACTAATTTTTCATAATAACAAAATAACTATTGAAGGATGAACATTCAAGGGGGAGTGTTGTAAAATCCTGGGAATAACATGTGTGTGAATTATTCATCCTTGTAAGCAGCATACTCATTAGGACACCAAGCTTTTCCTGATCCTTGTAATGATCCTTGTAACCTAGTTAGAACAGGTGGTTTAATATGCTATTGCCACCAAATCTGTAGACTCATCAAATAAGTGACTCATCATCAAGCTCA